CCGGGTACCTTTCTGAGGGCACCCATCAGTGCGCCTAGCAACCGAGCTTTATTATTAGCACAGCATGAGAATTAAACTATTGACTCGCGAGTAATGAGTCTCGTCGTCGCCGGGCGCTCGGCGCCTTTGGCGGCCTCACGTTTGAGGTTTGACGGCTGGTTTGGCCGCATGCGCCGTGCTTTGCCAGTGGCCTGCCAGATCCACCGTCGATCGCCAGGATGCAGGCGGTGAATTTTGTCGCCGACGACGACGCAGATCCGGATCGGCAGTGCTCAGTGCTCACGGGAATTCGACAGCGGCAGTAACAAAGATCCGGCCGAGCGCTCCGGCCGGCCGGGGCCAGGTAGCCAGGTGGGAGCCAGCGCCTGCGCCTGCACGGTGGCCCAGATTTTGACCAGGGGAAACGACTCGACCGGATCTCCCCCGGCGGCGACAGCGCGCCAGTGCGCCACTGCCTAACACGTTGCCGGAATTAACTCCTCCTCCGCCTGCGCGCGCGCGCGACGGCGTGGCCCAGGGCCCAGACCGACTGCCTGCCTCCCTGCCGCGGCGGCACATGGAAGATCTGCCGCCGGTGGTGGCGCCTCGTCGACGTGGACGTGGCGTCGTGGCGCCCTGCCAGATTTCTGCCGCCGCGTGGCGTTACTGTGGGCGCGTCCTGGCCGGCGAGCGTGCGAGGCGCCCACCGCCACCGGGGCTGCGTGCACGGTCGTGTGGGTGTGGCCTGTCGGTTGGAACCGGAGCCGCCGCGGGTGCCCCGCCCACGGAAACGCACCGAGCGCGGGGGTCCGATCACGGTGGCGCCAACTGCGTTCACGTAGGCCGAGAGAGATAATGAGCTTCACGGTGGCGCGGCTAGCGAGGACGGAGCTGGCACGTCGTGCACGACCGGATGAGCGACGCGTGTGTGGCGTGGCGCCGTGTGGTGCGGTGCGGTGGCTTTCCAGGCGAGCCCGATCCGTGGCTCGGCGCCAGGGTGAGCGACGCGCGGTCCAGTTGTCAGCGTCGCGCACCTCCGTGAGGTACGCGGCACGGCAGCTGCGGAAAAGACAACTGGCCACCGCGAAACGAACGGGAAGATAGAAAAACGTTGCTACTTCTGGGCCATGGGCCATGGCAAAATCGCTGCGTCCACCAAACTCGTGCCGCGCGTCCACGCCGGATCCGGTTACGCCGGGAGAGCGACCCCAGCTGCGATTTTTCAAGCACGGTCGTTGGTGACAAGGGTTTTATTATACTCTTGGATTGGATCTGGTTTACCGCTTACTATTCCTGTTGTGTGAGTAGTCATCCCCTGTGTTGTCCTGTTCCATGAATCCAACCATGATTATCATCCTTCACCAAAATACTAGTACGTGTCATTTCATTTTTCACCAATGATGATACCACCCACAACCAAAAAAATGCTGTTTTTTTTACAAACGAAATTGATGTGCACACGACATGCAATGCCCGATGTGCAGCCGACACAAGCTCTACACCGTCAGATTGCCTAGTATCAAATTTACAAACGGCCTGATGAGACACATCGGCTGTGTATCGTCTGGAACCGTCGGCTGTATAGCAACGCTCTTTTACAAAAATGATAGTTCTATATGCAATTAAATTTTTTTAACCGGCGACGGCTCTCATATTCTTCTCCACTTTGTCTTTCTTACTGCTGACCGCTAACTTTCTCTGCTTTTCTCGCCGTCAATACGTCTTTCTAGAGGGAGCACTGCCTCTTACTTA